GGTATTTATATAGCGCCTTTCCTTTAGGTTACTAAGCACTATGATTTCCTTGGTGATTGCGTCCACATGTTTATGCAGTCTCTCACTAAGTGACTCCTAAGTCTCTCACAACTCTTGCATTCAAGCAGGAATCTTCCAAAAAATAAATTAACCCATCTCCCTACATTTTTCAAAATTATTTTTAAGAATGAAGGAAAAAAGAAAATTATATTCAAATGTAAGTCTAAGAGAGCCATTTCCAAAAATCTAAAGTTGCCATGATCATAAATTTTCTTACCTGAGACCACAACCATAATAGGGCTAAGGTGGCGTAGACCCTCCATCATTGAAAGTCTCTCCCTGGGCCCCCTCTATTTCAAATTCCTGGTTCCCATTTATTTGCCATTTGATGGGGAGAAGCAGCGCACATAAAGTGCCTTGCTGAAGAACACAAGCAAAGTGCACAGCGAGGGATTGAACCCCTGACCTGGAGGTTGGTAAACCAAACAGTTCACTTCACGCTACACCAAACCGCTTCAGTAAGCTTCTTGTAAACTTGGCCCTTTGCCATATGTCAATATGGTTCTTAGAACCAATACATTTCAATAAGGTTACTTACAGTAAGTGGAAAGCAAAAAAAGTGACTTGCAGTATGTTTATGCAATAATTAAAAAAATGTACATAAATAATGCAAACAATGTTGTTTAATGTTACCATTAATTCATAGTCGCCCATGGCTCTTTGTAGCTGTCTTCTTGGTAATGTCGGCCAACGATTCGCTGCTTCTTGGACTTCAAGTGATGAATAGGAAGGGCCATCTATACCATTGCTCACTCTCTAAATTAATAAGTTAAACAATTTATATCTTAATCAATAAATCATTCAAATGGAAAGAACCTTTTTTGAATTTGGAATGTGAATGGTGTTTGGACAAAATGAATATCACCATGAATTATGTGACTGTGGTGGCCTAAGCCGGCCCCAGATGTCCATAGTAAATTCAGTGTGTAGTGAAAGAGAACGATCATAGTCGTAGTGTATAATGGATAGATAGCTGGAGAATACCAGTTGCGTTAAATTTACAGAAAATTCTTACCTTATCTTTCAATTTAGCTAAGGGGTTGTTCAACATTTTTACAAGTGCACAAGCAGTACTCTAGGGCGAGGGGGTAGACAAATTTGTACACTTTTACATATGCATAAAAATGTTGATTCAAAATAACATGCAATATGTAAAATAATGGTAAAATTATAATGTAACCATGGATATAATTTTCGTTTTTAAACAACCAAGTTCACTGTTTTAGTCGTCTACACAAAAAAATGGAGAATGGTTTTTGCAAAATCATCATTTTTTGAACACTTTCAGAGGGGAGGGAGTGGGTACTGAAAAAGATTACAGTACTATTCGTACACTTGTGAAAAAGTTGATAATTGTAAACGACCCCTAAATAAAATGTAACTTATCTACTTTTTAATTAATGTATATTTTATTTACTTCTAATAAGAATTTCCTTTCCATTTCCTAATCATAGCAGTCAGTGTGACACCCTCCTTGATTCAATTTCATTAATAAATTCATCCTTCCTCCCATTTTCTCTGAATATTCTATAAAAACAATTAAATTTGTTTTGAAATGTACAAGTTCTTCAACAAACTGTGCACCCCGGCCTGTGAGTTCATAGTGTAATCTGCATCTTCATAATATTTTAACCAACTATGTGTGTAGTTTAGTTTTTCCTGCCATGAAGTCTTTGTACATAAGGCTCCACCTACAGTATCAAATTTTCTGTGACAAATACATGTGATTGGCCCATGATGATGTAATACTACAGCCCCATATATAGGCATGATGATGTCATATCACATCACCATATATGGGTATGATGATGTCACATCGCACACCATAAAATCACAGGTATAAATAAACATTAAGATTGTGAACAGAGTTCAATAAAAGATACCAAAATATTTATAGAAACTAGTACTGTATGCTTTTGTAACATGCAAATGAGTTAGTTTTATGGGACTGACCTCTGTCTTGAACCTTGGTTGGTACTTGGATTCCAAAGCATTATGCTGAGATGCAAAGAGGATTGCTAATAGGAACACATCCATGCCACGATCCTTCTCTGTAATATTTGTCACTAAATTCTGAAAAAAATTAAATGTCTTCAATTAAAATATGCATTTGGTTAACTTCAACAGACACATGAAAGAACACTTGGAAGATATGATTATTAGGAGGATAATAATGAAGATGATGGGATGACATTGGTGTGCTGGCCGGATATATAACTGTAATAAGATGATGGTAATGATGATAATTAAAATAATAATATCGATGATGGTGTTAACGACAATGATAATCATGAATGATTATATTAATGATGATAATGAGTATTATAATGATGACCATGAGAGCAAATAAGTAATGATAATATTGATGGTCAGGATGACAATAATAATGATAATGATGATAATGATAACAATAGTGATAAGCCCTGTAAAATGCAATTATAGGTAGAAACAAAAACAAACTAGGGAGGGCATTTTCTTCACCCTATAAACTTTTGAATTCCCTTTTTTCATCTAACTTACGGATTTCATTTTTGCTACCTTATAATCTAGTGTTCATAAAATCTTGATTTAGGTTCCAAACATGGCTTGTTGAGTTCAATACTCACATCATTAGATTTTTTCACTGGACCAAAATATAGCCAGGCCTCCTCATCCTCTTGGCAGTAGTCCAGCTTGCCTGTGGTATGATGGGCATTCTCAACACAAGTCCTACTCTCATGCCTCAGAAACCCTGAAGACACACCATGGAAATAAAATCAACTGTATTACTATTATCAAAAATAATATTAATAATAACAAATAACAACAATAAAAATACATATTAATGGGAAAGATGAGAGCAGCATAGGTCAGTTGGCTAATCTGGTGGTAGCCACTGTTTGTGCGCTGAACCGTGGAGATCTCTAGGTCCACAGTTCAATTCCCATCGCTGCCTCTCCTTGTGTTTCAGCTGGAGGACTGGAATACAAGTTACAATAGTGAACCGTCTTTTGGATGAGACGTTTAAGCCGTTGGTCCCATGTGCATTTATGGCCCATGTGCACGTTAAAGAACGCAGTACACTCTTCGGAAAAGAGTAGGGGATTGTCTCCCAGTGTACTGCCCAATCACTACCAGAAGGACCCCACTGGAAATAAGTCTTCTTCTAGACTTTCATGGGCTATCCTTGGTGTTTACACCGAATAAATCCAATCCAATTCAATAATGGAGAGTGCCGTCGTCCTTCCAGAATAAAGGCTTCCTCATCTCCCCCCAACCATTTACCCCCGCTAGAACCCCTTCACTTCATCATCACGGCCCCCACTTCACCTGCACCCCTCCACACGCACACACACACACACAATTTCCATTATTCTAAATACGTGGATGTGTATACTGTATGGTTAACATAATACCAAGTCTCTTTCTAAACATGTTGTTTATCTCCGTTTTCCTGTGCAATTTTTTTTTTTTATAAATACAAGTAATAATCTCTCAAAATGTAATATGGAAATTTGTATTTCTATCTATCACTACTACACAAATATTACAAAATCTCTATAATTTGATATACCAACCATAAAACCTCGAATTGAAGCCCTGTGCTTCTTTTTTTTTTTTCTTTTTTTTGTGAACTTTGTATGGGCTTCTTTTCGAGACTACTTTTGCAAAGTAAAGAGGGGGTTTCTTTTCAAAATGAATGCTTTGAATTTTGTATAAAACAATAAATAAGGCCACTGTAACAACATCAATCTGTATCATGGAGTGTATTTAACTGGTATTAAATCACCTAAACTACTGTAAAAACCAAGCTTGTATTTAATTTATTTTGTTTTCTGGAATTCATGTACAGTGTATGTACTGTACTATATTGAAAAGAGCCCAAGCTATCTTGAAAAGAAGCCCATGGGCTTCTTTTTGAGGCTCATTTTACAAACTAAGGAGGGGGGCTACAATTCGAGATGAGCTTCATCATGAGATTAAGACCACTGCGCTTCAATTTCAGGTTTTACGGTAATGCTCATGGTTATAAATAATATTTTATCAATACAATGCACTCTTGCTAATTAATATACATTCTGTCGTACATAATTTGCATGAATGGAAATAATGTACAGATATATAGGGCTTGCGAGACAAAAAGGTCTGCAGCATACCTTCATGAAGGTTTTCCCTGTGGACCAGTATGTTATGATATTTCGGCTGCTGAAACTTGCGTCGCTTGGTTACCAGGTCGTTGTACGCATCATCCATGTTTAGTAACAGCTCCGACATCTGAAACCAACACAAAATATGTCAATGAATTTCTTCCTCTTTAAATCTATAAAATTTTTAAAATAAACCCTTTATAGTATATACAATTTTACATACCATAGTTTCCTTGGACAGGACACTCAAGTTTCTGCATATGTATACAGAAATATTACACCATTGTATAATGCACATAAACATTATGCACATTGTGTAATGTATCCAGATAAGGCACATGATCTGTTTGTATATATGCATATAAACATTTATATATACAATGTGTAATGGACACACATTATATATATAT